TTTCCCAGGCTTAAAGGGGGTTTAAACCCTTTTTTTTTTTTTTTTTTGCCTGCCTATCTCATCGCTTTCCAACGACCTGGTACCGGGGGTTTTTTTTTTGAGAAACTTTTTGCCTCTTATCTACTGCTTGTCAATATAGGCAAAAAGTTTCTTAAAAAAAAAAAAACCCGCTTTAACAGAGTTTAAACTTACCCGTGTCTTCGCTGCGCGCTCCCGTCTGAGAATCCGAAACTTCTCGGGCGGCAGCAAAGCATCTTGGGGCGGGCGCATGCGCAGTTTGGATTTTTGCCTGGGAGACTAGGAGAGACACAAATTAAGTCTATGGACGCGTGCACCCGCATGCATACACTGCTGGATCGGAAGTGCCAGCAAGCAGAAAGGAATCGGCGCTGGATCGGAGACCGGCAGCACCGCTGGAGGGACAGATGAAAACATCAGGAAAGATCGGATTAAGAAACATCATTTTAATGTAAGTGCTGACATTGGGGGGAGGGGGAAAAATTTGACGGTCCAGGTACCAGGTCGTTGGCAAGCGCTGAGGAATTGCAGTATTTTAGGTAGTGACAAAAAAAGTAGTCTTTTCAGTATGCTAAAAGGAAAGCAGGGGATAAGCTGTGGCCAGGGTGGGCAACTCTAGCCCTCCAGCTGTGCTTTATCTACAAATCCCATCATGCCTGTAACTGTCAGTCTTGCAATACATAATTGGACTTGTAGTCCCACAACAGCTGCAGGGCTGGAGTTGCCCACCCCTGAGCTAAGTAGAGGAAACATCGCAAACAAGAATGCTTTGTGGTCACATTTGGATTTGTCACTTGATGCCAGAAAAGAATAAACAGTTCTGCAATGCAGTTGTTGGAATATTCTGCAATGGGATGATAGAATAGGATCACAAGAGAGCCTTCAACTTCTTCTTACAAGACCACACAGGGACTCATTAAAATCTTAATTTGAACCATCTGGTTCCTGCAAGATAAGGGCTCTGTTCAGTAGTAATTGGGGGTGCACTGATGCAGAGTATTTGGGAGAGTACTCGTAAACAACCAAATGCTCCAATACTTACCCCGATACCAGAACTTCCGGTCAGAGGGAGATTTCCTCTGACTGGCAGTATCGCGAGGGAACATGGAGCCGGCTTCCCAGCCAATTAGCACAGGGCCGGCAAAACAGCAGGGAGTCAGACGGTAGAGCAGAGAGCCCAGGAAGGAGCTCATTAACCCCTCCCCGCCCGACCGCGCCTGGGAGGGCCGTATCTGAACTTGTGGAGGCATCGCTCACCACCGCGCCTGCAACCTCCCCCCCTCTCCCACCACTGCATAAGC